GTATAAGCGCGTGCCTATATACTCTTTGTTAACTAATCACCAACTAATTTGAATGACGAACAATTATTTCATTTGTAGTAAATGTCAGTAATTGATATATGATGAGATTTATTGTACGTATAACTTTACAATTTTGTTCTTATATGATATATTTCACACCCATCCCAGTAAGTAAAATCTTAAGAATCAAAAATAGGTTTTAAAAATACAAAATGTTTTGACCTAGGTCAGTAAATTTTGAGTTTGATAGAATTTATTATAAAATGGACTTCTTTTGCATCTTGCCCTGGTAGTGTTGTGGCGAAGTTCTATGGCAAGTTTGGATGATTCTTGAGGCGGCTTTTGTATTAGTTTGTATATTATCGCTTATTATGTTGATGTCCAATATTATTTCTCAAATTTCAAATTTTATCACCTTTGATTTTGGAAGCAAATCCCCTTGCTTGTGTGCCGTATGTCCAAATCGGCCAAATAATTTAGTCTTTTTTTACTTTATGTAAGAATGCAATATTTTAGTGATAATAAAGACTGATCGCTCAAATTGCAAAATTATTTTAAAATTTTATGTGTATGCAATATATACATACATTTTGATTATAAGTATCTATCACAAAAAAATTAGAATATACTAAATTAATTTCCCAGTCTGTAGCATTTTTATATTCTATTGTAATTAAATTATTCAAGTAAACTTTAAATACATCATAAATTAATAATTCCGTAAGTAATTTAAATATTTAGATACTCATTAATACTACCTATACTGTAGTACGCCGCTCCAGCATGGAACGCGACAACAAAGACTAACCGGCGGATACTACAGACAATACAAAACAAAGCTTCACGACTAACACCCAACAAATCAAGGGACGCACTGGCAAGGCATTATTACTCTACAAAATACATACATGAACAGAGAAATGTACCAACAATACTCGACTAAATTAAAAAGCTCACTGGAAACTTTTACTTCAAATGTAGGGATCCCTCGATTAACAACATATAGGCCCTTGGCCAATATACACGTAAAATAGATTAGTATGGCAAACACTCCATGCCAACTATTAACCATATACTGATTCACCCATAGCTTTAATTAGAACACGAAGTGATTTTTTAAGAATGGTCAAAACCATTCTTTTTTTGCCGCATAAATACAATCCACTGTTTTTCTTTTTTATATTACATATAAATGTACTGATGTAAAATACCTAATGTAGAAGTATGTAACTTAAGGGTAGGCAATTTATGTACCGATCCACTTTTATGCAATAAACGTTTTATATATTGAAATTTATCTTTTTGAGCTTGAACTTAAACATTTAGATACTGCATAACAACGCTAATTGTATGCCATATTGGTAGATATTTCATAGTAATATTTTTATGTTAAAATAAAAAAAAATCTTAACAGGTTCTAATTGATGTGAATTTATTATCTTCGGATCGCAAATGATTAATTAATTATCAATGCCATTAACATGGGTTTAAGTACAAAAATTTGATTGTTATGCTTTTGCTGCGAGCGATTAATTACCTTGTATCACTAATGATATGCGTTGAGATACGCACGTAAATACTGTTTATTATGATAACAGGCCAGAACTGCGGCAATCCGTCGCGACTATTGGAAATTACACCTTGGAATTTACAAAGGTGGCAAGTTCGACGATTATTATGGCGCCAAAGGAACCCAGAACAAGAGGAGCACTCCGTACGATATAGATGCGGTCCAGAAGAGCATGGTGGCCAGGACGCTGGCATCATCTGGTTATACCTTCGACAACACGATAGCATTGAGGCTTCGAGATAGAGCAAGTGTCAAGTGTCCCCCGAGGCCAGATTTGGCCAGCGCTCAGAATATTTCCAATTGCAACCCTTCTAGACAAAGTGAGTTTAATTTATTCAAACATATAATAATAAGACGACCATACGTCCCGGTTTGGCCAGAACAGCCCCAGATTTTCACCTTGTGTCCCGGGTTTATTTAAAAGCAATATTTGTCCCGGATTGTCTCAGGTTTTTAAACAGAATAGTTTTAAATTGAATTTTGAAAATTTTAAACAGAATAGTTTTAAAATTAAGGGGAAAGTCCGTAACGCCGGACGACACCAAGCACCAGACACTCTATTTAACACGTATTATTTAAGTCAGTATAAAACTTTTCATTTCACAATACAACTGAAAGGGACACTGGGGGCTCACAAGTACAGAATCACGTGCCAAGCCTTGCCTGCGACGCACATGGCCACGGCGAGAGCAACCCTTTCCTGTTTTAGGCGCAAAATCACGGCGTCACCTATATATCAATGGAAGTAATTCTAGCATATTTATGCATTTACATTTAAGTGGTATGCAAAGATAAAAGTTGTACTTGATTGTTATCCGTAAAATGGTAGAATATTATTAGGTCTTTTAACCAATTTTAGTATGTGCCACCAAATGAACGAAAATGTCTGTCCCTTAGCAACGGACACTAAGTCGTCCCTTAGTGCCGGACAGTAAACATATTGATATTTCTTATGAGAATTTACGTAATTTATTCCAATTATTTAATTTTATTCTGTATGAGTGCTAACGGTCACTACATACCACCATTGCACGTATAACCTAGTCAAAGAATGAAAAGCTTATGGTGAGAGCATCGGTGTGGCCCAGCCAAAAGGGTGGATGAATAGTGACTTTTTTTTGCAATATCTAAGAATATTCGTCAAAGACACATGTGCAGACATTCCAATATTTAGAGATGGCTACATATGTGGTCAATGCAGGTTATTTTTAAATGTCCAGTTTTAGGTGACACTGTTTAAAATCATATTTTTTGATACCAAAGTTTGATTGATAGTACTAATTATTTTTAGCAAAGATTGCGGTTTTGTTAATTTAGTTTGATTTCTAACTTTGTTATCTAACATAAATCATAATTTAATAAACATTTCGTAAAATATTTTTTGATTTATTTATAAATAACCTTAGGTGTCCACCACTAGGGGACTTCCGAAAATTAAATCTGAAAATAATATATACTGATATATACAAACTACAATACGTTGAAATAAAAAAATTTGCCGAACAAACAAAATTTCAAAGACGGATTGAAATAGCTTCTCACATTAATAATTTTGAATTTTTATTTTCAATTTTCTGAAAATTAGCAAAAACTACTACAAACTAAAATGCCTAGCACATATTTAATTCCTTAAGTTCAAAAATCAATGAATTTATTAAATAGTATGAATTAATTGTGTTTTATGTACAATTTCAGATAGCGTCTGCCTATTTAACTTGAGGGACGATCCATGCGAAACAAATGATTTATCCCAAAACTATCCGTACATTGTGAAACAACTAAAATCGGCATTAGTTTATTACAGAAATGGTCTGGTACCACAGGAAATAGATACCATTTCCATAGATTCGATTCCTGAATTATATAATTATACCTGGTCCAATTTCTTAGACAAATTACCGACAACGGACTTCCGAAATATTGAATTGTAAAATCAATAAAGGGATGCTTCTCTGAGACTTCAAATGTGGTCCTAATGTTTTTAATAGTTTATTAAATTTTTTTATATTTTCTAAATTTTAAAAATATATCAGATCGAAATTCAAGGTTTCAAAAAATCTTATTACAGTAAAAATGTACGACAATATTTTTTTTACCAATTACTGACTTTAGAATTAATTTTGTTATTAAATTTTGTATTATATTGAGTCATCATATTATTGACATTCATCATTTCTCTCATATTTTTTCCAGCGTTTTTGTTGTACATTTTATAGAGAAGAACATTGCAATCCACATTTTCACATATACCAAAAAAAATTGTATTTATATAAAATAGTACATTTTAATACGCAATTGAATTACCAGTAATTTATTAAAATATTATGGCGTAAAATACATTAATTTCTTTTATTGACATTTATAGTTTTTACTTACAACTATTTTATTATAAGAATATCTAAGAATACTTATTTATCACACAAATGAAAGAAAAATGTCTACTTACGAATTATTTTCATTATTATAATAAATATTCTAGTATTAATTAAAATATTCATCCAAAACCATAAAGTTAGATCCTATAACAAAATTTTGTCACTAATCCCAAATTGAATATAAAATGGAAGTATCAACCAACATTTGTGAGATGTAATTTTACACCAGAATATATCGTTGGTTTTTATCCTGTACCTTTTAGTACTTTCAAGTCATAGAAACCTAATTGTAAGTGAATGTGAATTTTCGATGTTACCATTAATCATCTACTACCAGTTACTGCATTTGTCATCGGTAAAAATAGAACTAGTTTGATCAAAAAGTACTTGGAGCTATTCGTGCGTCAACAACAAAACCAGCTCCATACAAAAGGAAATACCTTCACTGGTTTACATACTAACATTTGAGGAAAAAATACTTAAAACACAGTATTTAAGTTAGAAATAATATTAGAAATATTAAGATAATTGAATTATGTTAGGAGTATAATTATAGTATTCTACCACAGATTAATTTGCTACCAAATAATTGTCAATAATTTTTGTATCATGAATTATATATATTATAGTATTATTAATTTTAAACATGTATAAACTCGCACATTAATAAATAAATATTTGTATAAAAAACTGCAGCTTATGTTAGTTTTATTTACGGTAAAAATTAATATGGTCTAGTGGTAAGTGGCATTTTACCATAAGGGGATATTCTAGTGTAAAGCAATGAATTTTAGGTCATTTTTGAAGTGTCGTGAAAGAAAGCAATGAATGTCTTTACTATCTATTTTTCATCACTTGCTTATTAATATTATTAAAATACAAAAAAAAATAATAAAAAAAAGTTGAAAATTGAAAAAACTGGCAACTGATGAAGTGGGGTTCTCAAAAAATTGGCACCTCAGTCTTAACATGATTCTTAGCCCTCCTAGCCATCCGAAATAAAAGAAATAAAAAGATTATTAATCTACAATGATGTCGCAATCGCCCGAACTAGCGATGAGTAAAAAAAATTTTTTTACAAATTGGCGACTGTTTAAAAAAAGTGTCTTTTTTACTATTGTTTTGAGTTTCTCGATTTTTTTTTAAATAGTAAATATTAGAATTTGAGGATGATGCTAGTTCGGGCTATAGATAGGTCTATAAACAAGACTCTCATTCTCACATTTCAAGTGAATCGGTCGATTAGAACTCGAGAAATCGTGTCAACAGTACTGAAAAAGTCTATTCTGATAAAAACGCACTTAAAGTTTTGCGTGAAGTTTTTTGCTGTTAAAGTCAGATAATGATATGTTATACTTTTTTTTATTTAAACTGCCAATCTTGCTTTATTCAGCGGACCTTCTTCTACTTCAAAAAAAACTGTTTTCTGCATTTCTCTTTTCCAATCTAGCAGTTCTAGCCTTCTTTGTGCATCTTTTCCGGGCGTTGTCTCGTCTCACAGCAAATGAGTTTCAAGCCCAATTTGCATTACCATAAGGGTCATCATTTCATTCATCTTTCATTGATATGCAAACAGCAATAAATGTTGCGATTTCAATTACCCGAGATCGGAATTAATATGTTTCGGCGCAAAATTAAAATAATGAGTTTAGAGGTTCAAAATTGTTCTGAGTTTTTGAACCCAAACATCGAGTTAATAACTCATTTGACGATAAACTGTCAAAAATTGGTCTAATGACTTCCTAATGCCATTTCTCCGATTAGACCCTGCCAAACCAGTTTGAAGACCGGGTCAGTAAAATGCCTATATCTCCGAAAATAATTCAAATTTCGAAAAATCTTTTCGTACCCATATTTTTAGATAGTTAAACTTTGAAAATATGAAACAAAAAAAATCTATTTTTTTGAAATTTTACACTAGAATACCCTCTTAAGACAAGTTTACGAGATGTGTTTTTTACATATCCACTCAATCAACAATAATTTAGATTTAGCAACTTTTGAAATTGTGACTCTACTTTTGACGTAGTCCATTATTCTAAATATTAATATTGTAATCTTTGTACTGTGGACGTAAAATTTTGCATTTTTTAGCTAATTATAAAAATAAACGACTTGAACGAGAAACTAATCAACGCGAGAACATATTTCAACCTCGGTTCTGGTCAAAAACAAAAGATCAAACATTGGATCACATCATGATTCAATGCTGTACTCACTCATGTACAATTTTGGTCTCAAATAATTCAGAATGACTCGAAAGGTCGAGAAAACATAGAATAAGTAAATCTAATTTTTTGACGAAAAAGGCCTGCTTTAGGAAGTTAAAAATGCACTTTGAGACCAAAAGATAATTAAAGTACAAATCTATTTCTTAATATAATTCTTTATAGGACATAACAATTTGCAATTCTAACTTTACTTTTTTTGTATTGTGGTAAAATCCTGGTTTCGAACTATAAGTTTAAACATATTGTCATTTTCTTTTCTTATGTTAACTGCTTAAAATCATAATCGAGAAGAAATTAGAATTTTAGTAATAATGAAAAAAAAAAATGGAAACCTAGTTAAAGTTATCACGGTAAGCACTTTCCCAAAAGAGAAAACACATACAATTGACGAAAATAATTAATTTTTAAAATATGTTTTCAATAGGTTTATCATAATAATTAAAAACATGCTAAATACTGTTAATATTACTAATTACATGATTGGCATTCTTAATTTTGGACTTTTTCTTGCTCATACTACTTTACACTATAGAGTAAATTTATATTAATTTGTAACTAAATTTTGTAAGTTGCTTTTACTAATTATAAGACAGAAATGATGATTATTGACATAATACATATAGTTGTTTAAGCTGAAAAAGAAATCCGCCGAAAAAAGTAATATGATGTATGTTATTGCTGGAAGCAGAAAAATGTTGGAAGATTGCGTATTTAAAACAAATATTAGCAAATAAGATAAAATTATATTCAAGTTAAATAATTCAACAAATTAATATTTTTAATTAAAAAAAAGTGATAATTATAAAAACAACCAGTGAAAAATGCTCAATTTAATTGTAAATTTTGAATAATATATTTTTTTAATTTAATTTTAATCATAGATTTTGAAATCGTATTTTTTTTAAATATCGAACAAGTTAAGAAAAGTTAAAATTTTGATAAATATGATTGTTTTTAGAAAATTATTAAACTTGATTTAAATTTTATTTTTCTAATATATTTTACATTATGTAGGGTATTTTACAACTCTATTGAAATATTTATACTTTTCAATCATTTGTTTCTATTGCAATAAAAAAATAATTGAAAAAAACAGGATGTACATTTAACACAAAAAAAAAACGTTGTTAGTATTTTGTTACATAGAAAATATTCATTAGCCGCTATGATAATTTTACTATTTTTAATTTTTTATCTTTAATTTATTTTAGAATATCATGAAAACAACATATGTGAATGTTAGTGAGAAATTTTTGACAAGCGTGATTGTTTTTAGAAAATAATTACTTTTTAATTTTAATTTATTTTAGATATCTTGAAATACCAAACAACAAATTAATTAGCAAATCGAATGTTCGTGAAAAAATTTGAATTCTTTATCGTGTATCATATTATTTTGTTTGCTTATATATAATTATGTAATAAATACATACTTCAAGACAGTATTGAATTTATCTCACTACCCTGCAAAAATTTGACTTTAGAATGACTTTGTTAATTAAAATATTGAATTATTTTGCTCAAAAACTTAACTCTTAACAATATATAAGTAATCTATTGTCAATAAAGTCCTAAACGGTATCTATATATTACACATTCGCGTGGTGTAGAATTTACAGAAGAATACTAATAACTTCTACAAACAATTTAATTTTTTTGACCATGAAGAGTTCATTTGATTTAAATTACTAGGAACTCAATTTAGTTGATAAATATTAGTTGTCTTGTTTCAATATTTTGGATATTTTTTACAATATTATGCAATACTTAAATATTCCGCAAACTTAACAATGTGAACGATATGTGAAGTAAATATATGATTTAGAAGGAAATAGCATATTTTTTTTATTAAAGTCAAAATATAAGGCTAGTACATGACGCAAGTGGTAAAACCCAAAAATTGGTTTTCACTAGGAAATATGGTAACAATATGGTTTCAAGTAAAATTAGCTCTTGTCCGGCATTGCTGCTTAAATAAATATTCATTACTATTGAAGAAATTGTAATCATAAATTTTATCACATAGGAAATGGACAGCCATTTGATTGCTAAAAAAGTCTCGTCATTAAGAGCTGAGCACAACAATTCAAAAGAATCATTGAGCTCTGATCGCTGTTAACACGTTGGCTGCTGATGTAGTTTTTCGTCCCTGGTGTGGCTATCGTCACACTGCCAATCTATTCATCTAATCTATCCCCAAATTATTAGCATAAAAGTTGCAATTAGTTAGTGCAATGATTGCCAACCTTCTAATAAAAAACTTGTTGCGTCTTCCTTATTTTCTTCAACAATTTTATTTCATAAATATTCAACTGATATTTATCAAACCAATATATAAAGTAATATTTAAAATGATGTAAAAATATAAATTACAAATATTTATTTTTTTATATCATTCCAATTTTTTAACTTATTTTTG